ACTGAAGAGTATTGGCTCTGGTCAGCCGTTATTGCATTTAATGAAATCGACAAAGAGTTGCTAGGCTTAAACGAATTTCGCAGTTTTACACCATGTGGAAGTGTTTGTTTTGGTCTGGACAAGAAATCGGATGATCAATATAGTATTCGAACTGATGTAAAAGGAGTAGTGTACTGTTTTTTACCAACAAGTATGGACTCAGGTTTACCGTTTCATATCAATGGATGTTTTGCCCTTCATACAGATCGTCGTCGTCTTCTACAAAAGTTTGTTGATGATCGAAACAAGCGCCAATTTGAATGGAATGATCTTGTTTTAAAGGCTGTTTGTAAAGCACTTTTACTTGGTTTAGAAAATGCCTTAACTGTATGTGGCCTACATTCGTTTGAAATATTAAAAAGCTTTTGGCCAATTCCAATCAAATCGCCATCACTTAAAGCATTAGAAACAACCTTTTTATCTTCGATTATTGATCCGTTAAAAAGTTATGCAATATTCAGTGATGGCAAACAAGTCGGTTGTTTCCAACAATGCTGGATTTTGAATGTCGATTTTCCTAAAACAATTCAAGACGTTTTATTGGATGAGCTTCGTTCGAACTTGATGCATGTGTTGCAAAATAATAGGTATGTCGACAGTCATTTATTAGTTAACCGAAGTATGTACTTTCTACTGTAGTGTTCCTAAGTGGAAACAGTCAGCCCGCTCTCCAGCGTGAAATTTTTTCACAATTCTGTTTGAAGATCTCAAAGTGTTTTTTTCAGAGAGAAAACATGGAATTTAAGGCTTAAAATCGTCATAATAAGAGGTTAACATAATAGAAGACCTTCGCTAAATAAAGCATCCTCCCCAATTTAGGAGGTCTCCTCGTTCTCATCATCTAGACGTTGCATTAAAAGACCCATCCTTTTTAAGATTTCTTCGAAAAAGCACAGTTATGTTCCTGACAAAACAATATTTTTCGGTTAGAATCATGATATATCTAGAAATACGTAGGAGAATAGGCTCACTATACTCCCATAGATCAACGTTGCTTGTCAAGAAGCATAACAGACATTGTGATTCAATCTAGTAGCTCAATATAGAAGAACGCGTCTGAAACGTACTCTTAGAAAGGACATCAACGAGGTTACGAAAAAATGTTACAAGTTAGTCCAGGAAAATCCAGGTGCTAAGCACTTTCAAAAGATCCTGCTCGATCAGCTGGTATTTCACTGATAAATAGGGCTGATGGATCTAACAGGAATTCTAAAAGAGTTCATCTTCATGCGGCTTCCTTTGCAAGTTACGATCGATCTAGTGAAATTCGAAGTTTTGATATTTTAACTATAGCTGACTGTTCAAACCTGCTGAAGAGCTGAAACTCGCAGCAAAGATAATCCTAGGTATAGCTTCTATGCAGTAAAAGCTTCAGACTTTATTTTTATGTCCTTGGTGAGAAACTGGATTCTGTGTTTTTTAGGAGCTTTCGGCACTGGCTTGAGGCCTACAATGGAAAAACAGGTTTTTCCCTATTAAGCCCATTTTGGCATTCAAAAGTTCGTAAGGTTGTCTGGTAATTCTGTTAGAATATTTTTCAAGTGTTAGCACTGTTTAATTAGACAATATGATTTATTCCATTTGCAGGCCCCAAGCCACTGCCGAAAGCTCCTAAAAAACACAGAATCCAGTTTCTCACCAAGGACATAAAAATAAAGTGTGAACCTTTTACTGCATAGAAGCTATACCTAGGATTATCTTTGCTGCGAGTTTCAGCTCTTCAGCAGGTTTGAACAGTCAGCTATAGTTAAAATATCAAAACTTC